AACTATATATTCATAATTATGAACAATTTTTGAACTGTGCCTACTTTGCAAGGTGGACACGGTGCCACAACATAATTTGTCGGGTTAATAGTACTAAAAAAAAAAAAAAAATCTTTGGACTTCTCAATACTTGCCCACATTGATGGGCAAGCAATTATACGTTTGTAAGAGGAGCAATGATCCTCTTATATAGAGGAGCTCAAAAGCTCCTCTTTCCAAACATTTTCAATGTGGGATTAAAATGATCCCACATCATTTACAATGGGGAGCCACCTCTGTCTTCTTCTTATTTTTTTTTTAATTTTAATTTTAATTTGTATATAGTTTTGTTTGGATTATTGTTATTATTATTATTATTATTATTATTATTATTATTATTATTATTATTATTATTATTATTATTTACGAATTAATAGATTTTATTTAATTTCCATTTGCGATTTACTTACCAAATAAGCTTTACTACAAAAGTTTGGGGGGGGGGGGAATGAATTAGGATGATTTTGTTTTTAATTATATATAGAATATAGATAAATTGATTCTATTTCATTTTTTAAGCAAAATCTTCCTTAAAGATTAATAGTAAAATAAAGCTAACTTATTAATAATCGATTCTATTACATTTTTTTACGCAGAATTTTTTTTTAAAGATTAATAGTAAAATAAGACTAAATTATTAATAACCAATTGTATTCTATTTTTTATGCAAAATCTTTCCTAAAAAGACTAATAGTATCTTAATGATTCTTTTTCTTATACTGCTTATTGATTCTTTTCCATTTTTATGAGTGTAGAAAAAATTCACATCCTAACATTTTCTTCCATTCATTTCTATTTTCCCATATTATTATTAATTTCATTCCCAATATTATTCTATATTGTTTTAGCATACGGCTTCGTTCCATTCATTTCTATTTTTTCATATTATTATTAATTGTTTAGGCGGGAACTTGTAAATGAGGATATTGTTTTATTAATTAATATAGAATATAGATTACCAATTAAACTTAAAGTTTTTATTATAATTGAACAATAATATTACCAATTATTATTTGAAGATTTTGTAAAACTGTAAGTAAATTTGTATTACGGATAGGAAAATATATGTACTTTAATTTTAATTTAAATTATTAATAATTAATTCTATTTTATTTTTTAACAAAATCTTCCTTAAAGATTAATAGTAAAATAGTAAAATAAAGCTAAATTATTAATAACCGATTCTATTATATTTTTTATGCATAATTTTTCTTAAAGATTAATATAGTAAAATTAAGCTAAATTATTAATAACCGATTTTATTACATTTTTTACGCATAATTTTTTATAAAGATTAATAGTAAAATAAGACTAAATTAGTAATAACCAATTCATTTTCTATTTTTTTACGCAAAATCTTCCGTAAAAGATTAATAGTAAAATATCTTAATGATTATTTTCTTTATACTGCTTATTGATTCTTTTTCATTTTTCAGAGTGTAGAAAACATTCACATGAATAATATTTCCTTTCATTATTTTCCATACTTCCATATTATTATTAATTTTCTTTCCAATATTATTATTAATTGTTTGGGGTACGGCTTCCTTCCATTCTTTTTCATTTTTTCATATTACTATTAATTGTTTAGGCGGGAGCTTGTAAATGATGATTTGTTTTTATTAATTAATATAGAATATAAATATAGATTAATATAGAATATACATTACCAATTAAAATAATTTTTTTTTAAATATTATATTGAACAATAATATTACCAATTATTATTATTATTATTATTATTATTATTATTATTATTATTATTATTATTATTATTGGTTCACATAGTTGAATTATTTGTTTTTTATTTAATTATTATAAACATAAATGATATTTTACTAATTAATTTATGATATTTATCAAATTTTATTTTTTAAATATAGTGTTTTATCCATGCATTGCACGTAATTTTATTTTTGTTATTATGAATTTAAAATAAAAATAGAAAAAATAAAAAGATATTTAAATGTACAATATAATAATATAGTTGGACTTTTATATATTTAGTCAAGTATCTATTTCATAACATACAAAATTAAAATTTAAATTTTGTATGGTTAATATATTCTCTAATCATGTACATATTTAGATAAATTTATAGAAAGAATTCATATAATTAAGTTGATTTATTCCAAATTGTATTTCATATCTATATATGAAATTTAAAAATATGAATAATAAAAACTAAGAGAATTGTACTTAGAAATCAATAAAAAAAATGTACTAAATTTTGTATGAATAAATAAATATTCTAATAGGACGCATATCCTTATATGATTGTATAATACTTTGTATGAGTTAATACCATCTAAGGTCCTCCGAGTATAGTGGTTTTGCCATGTTAGTCCTAAACTTTCAAATTGACCATATGTGGTCCTTTGACTTTCAAACTTAACCATTCGTGGTCCAAGTTAACCACACATAGTCCTTCAACTATTAAATTTTAACCAACCATGGTCCTTTCATGAGGACCACTACTGGTTAAGTTTCGAAACTTGAAGGACCATGGATGGTTAACTTGGACCACAAATGGTTAAATTTGAAAGTCGAAGGACCACAAATGATCAATTTGAAAGTTTAGGACTAAACGAGGTTAAACCACTATACTCGGAGGACCTCAGATAGTATTAACTCTACTTTGTATATACACATAATATTTATTAATATGTATATAGGAAAGTCCTATAATATAATTTCATTAATTATAATTTATATTGATAGATTTATACTTAAAAAATTATATTTAGAAATTTAAAGAGTATATGTATGTATATTTAAAAAATTATAAATATTCATGTTTTGTTAATTTTAAATTGCATTTCTTTAATTATATTTCAAATTTTATTAATTATAATGTAATGAAATTGTCACAAATATGTCTACGGAAGAAATCATATATTTCTCAATTTCATTAATTATATTAATTATAATTACCAAATATTGTGGCAATTATCACAATAATTTCATTAATTATAACATTTGTTTTCTTCCAATATTTAAATACATTACCATAAAATTACCATAATAATAACACAAAAGAAGGAAAGAAAAATTACGAGAATAATCTATATATATATATATATATATATATATATATATATATATATATAAAATTAAAAGTAAAATTCTCCTAACCAAGTTTATCCTCAAAACTTAGGGGCATATATATATAAATTGCATATTTACCATATATGCATATTTTGTGTTTATATAGTATAATTTTTGGTATCAAACATTTGAATGGTAATAAACGGGGGAAAATGTCAACATACAAATGATAATTAATTCTTTCATTACTATACTAATTTTAATGGTAATTCATTAATTATTATATTTCACGATGAGTCAGCCTGTTCATGCCCATCATTTTTCAAGAAACATAGAAATGAAATAGTCAATTATTAAAATTGTTTATGATTTCGTTTTTAATTTTTGTCTAAAGTTAAAGATATATATTTTCGGCGATTATAACATTTTGTGAATTAACTGAAAATTTGAAAGTTTTGCCTTTTTTGAGATCTCTTACCATTTTATAATTTCAATATTGTGCTATTTTGAACTCATCCATGGTGTATAAATACACTCTATATGACCATACAAAATCCATTGAGGAGACATTTGTACTCAAGAGTAAACTTCTCCTTAAACTAAATTCGGGTGTCAAGAAAATCTCCGTTTTCATTCATAATGATATTCCTATTTCTGAGTCTCTCATCACCGTTCGGTACATCAATGATGTTTGGATTTCTGGGTCTTCCATTATTCCCTTTGATCCTTATGATTGTGCCTTTGCCAATATTTTTTTATTTGGGTTCAGTACAACGTGGAATTTTTTGGGAGGTTTCTCTAATTAAATTTTTGGTTAAAAATTTATATTTCCTTTGTATTTTATTTTATTACTTTTTTATTTATTTATACTAATATGTGAATGGAGTAACACAAAATCTGAAATTGTATTTGTTATTTATTTCTTCTTTTTAAATAATCATTATTTTTGTGTTTTACAAAAATTTAGAAAAAATCAAATATAGCGAGATTTTTAATTGGTTAAACAAACACTCTACTCAAGTTGTGATATATATATATATATATATATATATATATATATATATATATATATTAATTATAAAAATGCTGTAAAATGAACTATGCTTGGTAAAAAAAAATCATAGAAACTTGAATGGCATGTACAAATCTCGAAGTCAACATACTAACTCTAAGTTTCAAAAAATCTTACAAAATTATCAAAATTACCGTCTTTATCATCCTCGATCGCATCTCTACAATCTTTCATAAAAACTAAATCAATAGGGTTCTGTTACAAATGCTCTTCCTCCTCAATTTCCTTTTGTTGAAGTAGAGCCTCCTTAAATATCTTCAAACTCATACCAGATGATATAAACTGCAAAACATATTGAAGTACATGAGAATATAGTTAGAAAAATGTAGAAAATTCATACAAAAAGAAATCAGAGAGATGAGTCTGTGATTCTTTGATTGAAGAAGCCATTGTATTTATAGGTAGAAAATACTAATTCAAAAAGAAAGTATAATAATTTATTTATTTAAGGGAAAGTATAATAATTTATTTATTTAAGGTAATAATAATATTATTATTATTATTATTATTATTTATTTATTTATTTATTTATTTTCCATTTGACATTTACTTACCAAATAAGTTTTACTACAAAAGTTTTGAGGGGAAAATTTGTTAGGAGGATTTTACTTTTATATATATATATATATATATATATATATATATATATATATATATAGATATAGATGTACATTATATTCAAAGAAAATATATTATTTGAGCACTGAAAATATATTACTTTGAATGTTTTAGAATCTACTTTGAACAAGATGGAAGGAGTATTTCTTAAAAAAAAAACATTCCGACAAGTATGGAAGTTAAATTTAAAAGGAAAAATATGAAAAAGGTATTGAATTGTTAAAAATATATCATTATTATCCGATATGATATGATATGATGGAGGTATTATTACCTAGAGAGTAGTGCGGTGCTGTGCAGGAATCAAGGCTTTTGAGATTGAGCTTGAGATATTGGAGAATGGAGGAGCTATCACAAACGTCCAGATATCGATGGCTAGGGTTACGGGATGCCTTGAATCGCCATTATCATTACTCAATTGTTTGCAATGAACTCAGCCTAATCCTCCGAAATGCATATTCTCGACTCTCCAAGAATCTGCAATCCCTCATCTTCGACGACATTCTCCTCGCCTTTCGCCTCCTTCCCGAGTAAATCCAACTTCTGCTCCTAATCCACTTGCTTTTCTCATCAATTATGTCTGGAATTCACTAATTTAATTACGGTTTATCTTATTTACCAAGCAAAAAAAAAAAAAAAGTTGTGGTATGGATTTCAAATTATTGCTTACATAAGCTACAATGTTTGTGCTATACATGTAGAAATAGGAATGTTTAATAATCTGTAATGTTGTTAAACTGATTATACAATCTGTAATCTTGATGAGATTTATCAAATGAGAATTTCATTATCAAAATTGCATCTTTACAAATCGAGTTTAGATCACTTTTGGGATTGTATTTCTTGGACCACTTTTGGGTCCTGTACTTAGCAGGTTTTGGCATCAATGAAGTAAGATTTGTTAAATAAAAAAAAAAACGGGGGACTGATTGTCCCAAAAAATCACATTGTCTATATGCAGCATTTGTTGAATTGTTCAAATTCTGAGAATGTTTGTGCTGATATCAGTGTCAACATTCCTTGATGTTGTAGTACAGTAGTAAATGTTGCATTTTCCTCTCCTCTCTTGCCAAAGTTGCTTCTGGTTGCAGATGTTTGGCGAGGCCTTGTTATTGAACTTTTTTAACTTTAGAATGCAGACGCAAGCTTCCATATCAGCAGCTAATGCACTTGTGCAAAGCGTGGAGGCTACATTGCCAAAACAAAAGCGGTGTATTGCTACTAAAGAATTTAAACATGCCATCATTGCTCATAAGAGGCGTGCCAAAGCAAATTGTGAGGAACAAGGTAGTTTTTAAGTAAATTTAGCCCGTTTCCTCGAAGTGCTATACTTAACATTCCATTCTTATTAGATCGTAGCAAACTTTTGAATCACTACTGTACTTTGTTTAAATGAAGATCATATTAATCATAAATATGGTGGTATGTTAACATTTTTTGGAGAGTGTATAGTAACATAATGATGTCAGTTCAATATTTTGTCTCCCTTTCTGATTTGTGTGTTCAATATGTGGACTTTCTATCTGATTATGGTGCCATTCAGGTCCTATCCACCTTCCTCAAGACGTGATTGCACACATGTTCCAATTTTTGGATATACAAACTCTGTTAGTTGCTGCATTAGTGTGCCGGTACTGTTGCCCCTTCCATTGTTTTTTGGCATTAGTTCATAGCTTCTCTGTTGATGATACACAAGCCTAGTCCCAAGGGTGTGAGCATCAATTTGGGTACAGTTTCCTAAATTGCATGCAAATGGCCAGGTCATGGAGTCAAGCAGCTAGTGACAACCATCTGTGGCAATTAATATATACCAATTTCTTTGGCACTTCTCCTCTTAACTCCTCAAATGACGTGGAGTGTAGTAGGTGTACATCGGCCCAAAATGTGCAAGACATATGTCGAGAAGAAACAAGTACTTCAACTAGTGTTGACTGGAAGAATGCTTTCAAGAGAGCTTATAAAGGTACACCTGAAATCTATAAAATGGTATTGAAATAGGCAAGCATAAATTGAGGGTTCGTTCCTTCCACCCCCCCCCCCCCCCCCCCCCCCCCCCCATCGTGTTTCGCTGTTTGCGTTCCCTAAATAAATGGAGGGTTTAAAAACAGAAAAAAGGCAAGCATATATGCCTGGAGAGTGGAGACGCCCGTTATCTGTCTTATGTTTGCAACTTTATAGATCTTCATTTAATTTATATCTGATTTGCTGCCCATGTAACTTTCTCATTCACCATTAGTTTCATTTTTTTCACATTCAGATATGTCATCAAAATTGGTATTAACATCTCAGAGGGGCTACTGCAGTTACTGTTGTTCAGTAGTTTGGCTCGATAATGGCAAGTGTTCCAACGAACACACTAGCCATGGGGGCAAGAATCACTCAGTCAAGCCTCTTTCAGTTGAACAGGTACACTTTCTTATCCCTTTATACTCTCACAAAAGTAAAATAACTTCAGCTACTCTAGTGAATAACCAAGTCATTGTTCATTTACAATTTAGGATTGATAATAATCAAGTCCCCACTAATTTGGTCTCTTCCCTTTCTTTTGTAGATTGTTGACTATATAACCTCCAACACCCTACCCGGATCTTACAGTAGTGACAGTGATTTAGAAGACTCTGATTATGAATCTCTGTTTAAGCTGTGGGCTTATCCCAAGAGAATTGCTAAATCCTGAGCTCAATTGGGGATATGCAGAGTGAGACAAGATGTAATTTCTTCTTCTTTTGGTATAGATTGTATGCACCAACAGTTTCTACATCTTTATTAACAAACAAAAAAAAAAAAAAAAAAAAAAAAACTAAATTTGAGTATTATAAGAAATTTTTAAAAATAAACAAAAAAAAAACGGTTTTTTGTCAGAAAAATAACTCTTTTTTTTTTTTTTTTTTTTTTTTTTTTTTTTTTTGGGGTTTATTTTTAACAATTTCTTATAATACTCAAATTCAGTGTAGTTTAGCCAATAAATGGCTGCTGTGGGTTAGCTTATAGCAATAAACTAAACATTTTCCGATGTATATTTTACTCCATATATGGCATGTGTTATATAATTTATGAAAAATGGCATTTTTAGTTCCTTAATTGTGTTATAATGCTAAATTTAATCCTTTAATTATAAGGATGATCTTATTTAGTCCTTGAATTGTTCCTTGCCGTATCCGTTAAAATCTAATTGATGTTAGGGCAAATACAAATTTCATTTGCCTATCATATTCCAAAAACACCATTACTTTATCATATCCCTTTTTCTTGTATTGAATAACAATGGAGAAATGTCATAGGCCTCTCATGTAGCAGACGTTAAGAATGTCTATACCACTCAGGAAAACTTCTCTTATATTGTTAAATATGGCGAATTTTTTCTTGCATGGATTCTTGTGTTTAAATTCTTGAACTGCATCCATATTGGCTCCCTTGTCACGTTGAGTTTGAGTATTTTAAGATTGTTGATGGTGGGATAAAAATCATAGGCCATGAAATCAATGATGAAAATCATTAGAGAATTCCCGGAAATGTTGAAGTAGATAGAAAACCAGTTGTCAAGATCATGGTAGACAATGATGAGTCTCTCAATGTATGGCACAAAAAGAATCTTCGACGAGATGTGAAAATGGTGGAAGTAGTCTCATTTTCTCCACAACGTCTAGCTTCTCATAAGCACCATTTGAATCATGGTATTTGAATATAATTTGTTGTAGTTGAAGTTGTAATTATTTATTGTTTATGAATGTAATATATATTACTTTCCTTATTAGTAACGTTGCTGGCCCAAGTGACTCAAATATTATTGGAACAAAGAGGAATGAGATACGCAAGAACAACAAACAAGGCTAATCAGATTAAGTCAAACCAAACTAATGGATATATTAGGAAAAGATACTCGGGGCGAACCGACCTGGGAGTCGCGGCGTGATACGAAGGGCCTGGGGGACCCCAACGGGGTCCCCGGCGAAGACCTCGGCTGAGGTCTACTACGAGGACCCCAGTTGGGGGACGACCACAGCGCCGACGAAGGTCAGGGGCAACCTGGGCGTCGGCCTCGTCTCCGTGTGACTCGGTCAACCAAGATCCAACCGCCCGCCCTATTCTCTCGGGGTCGGTTGGGAGGGTTGCTTAGTATAAAAAGACATCTCATTGCTTTGTTAGGACATCTACACTTTATCTCACTATTACACTCCTTGTAATTCCCCTAATCTTAGATTATTAATACAACAGTTGTCCCCGCGGCATATACATTCATTGCCTTTTCCTATTTATTATTTATCGGGTTTAGTGATTCGAGTCTACCTCGGGGAATTAAATCCATCATTGGTGCTTTTGTTGAGAGTTGACGTACAAGCTCGAGCGTGCTCCATACTCCGCGAACTATGGCAAGGTCGAGATCCAACTCTCGTGGCTCCCGTAACACCCGTGCCTCCCCGACTAGGGGTGGCCTCAACGAGACCACTAGTCAGCCACAAGTCCCATCTTTGAGGTTGGCGGGTGACCTTAGAGACCGCCTCAACAACCACTGCAACAACACGACGACCGCCCGTCCTCCTCCGGATCCTGCCCTCTTCTGGGAGGGGGCGGCCGCCCTCCAACAGGCCTCAGTGGCATTGGACCGCCTTGCGCGGGGGCTCCAGGGAAGTGTTCCGGTCGGCCCAGAGGCCGCCCAATGGGCCCCAACCCCGCCTCCGACCCCCTCGAGGGGGTGTAGCGGCCCGAGCCGGCCACCCCACACCCACGCCGCCCAGACGGAGGGGGAGGTTAACTCGCCCCGCCCCTCGGACAGGCGGGGGGAGGTAGCATCCGCTTGGATCAACATCGAGATGGGGAGAGAGGTTGAGGGAGGTCAGCCCCAGCCAGGCCCGCCTTGGAGAGGTTAGGCACCCGCGTATCTGCCCGGGACAGATTAGGCCCAAGGCCTACCGCCAGCGGACTGCCCGCGACAAGGTCGTGCTCGCGGAGGTCGCCCAACAAGAGGCCCCGAGCCCCGCCACGACAGGAGTCGCATGCGGGACAATCGCCAAGCTGGGGGCCCCGTGTCCCGGTGCGGCGAGAGCAAAACTCTCGGGCCAAGCGGTCGGGGGAGTCGAATGGTCGAGCCCCAAGCTCCCATCGCAAAGAGGTCGAGCAACTCCGTAGGCGGATGGACGAGCTTCAGAAGCAAATCAATGACAAGCACGGGTCCTCGAAGCCTTTGGATGTCCTGACCGCCCCGTTTACGAGGGCCATCATGTCGGAACCCCTCCCCGCGAACTTTCGTTTCACCGCCATCCAGGCATACTTAGGGACGACCGACCCACGTGAGCACCTGAATAGGTACCGGGCTGCCATGCTAATGACCGGGGCCAGCGACGCTATCATGTGCTGAGGCTTCCTCTCGACCCTAGACAGCCACGCTCAGGATTGGAGTGGGTCCCTGCCAGAAGGGTCCATCTCGACCTTCGCCACCCTCACCAGACGCTTCCTGTCTTACTTCGCTGGCCACATGCGGAAAAAGAAGCAGTTCGCCGACCTATGTTTTTTGAAACAGAGGAGTTTGGAGTCCCTGGCCGACTTCCTCAGCAAGTGGAAGGAGTCGATAGGGATCTCCAATTTCGATGACAAGGCGGCAATACCCATCTTCAGAAGCAACCTTAGATCTGGCTCCTTCCACCAGGACCTCATCCGATACCCCCCAAGACCTACACCGAGTTGATGTAACGCTCATCTAGGTTCGCGGACGCGGAGGTAGCCGAGAAGAGGAAGAAGGAAGAGGAGGAGGGGAAGGATCGTAAAGGCAAGGAGCCTCAAGAGGACCGCCGGGCACCCAGGCTTCCCCGTCGTGAGTACGTCTAGGGGCCTAGGTTGACCCCCACGCGTTTTCTCACCCCGCTAACGCAGCCCGTCAGCACAATCCTGGAGCATGCGGAAGGCCAGGGGATTGTGGAGTACCCGGGGGAGTGCATAAAGATATCCCCGAAGGTAGACCACAACAAGTACTGCAAATTCCACCGGCAGTCAGGGCATGATACGGACGAGTGCATCCTCCTCAAACGCCAAATTGAGGAGCTCATCCAGAGAGGCTACTTGGGTCAGTTCGTGCAATGGCCTGGACAGGGCCAAGGGCAGCATCAATGCCGCGTGTGGAGGAAGGGAGGCGGCTCAGAGCCCTCCACCTTCGCGCCATGCAAGAGGGAGCTCGGCCAGCTCACTGACGAGGAAGAAAGAGAGATAGACAACCCCCACCCCCAGAAGAAACAAGCCATCCATGTGATCTTCGGGGGACCTGGAGGGGGGGGGGGGGACACGCCCGCAGAGAGGAAGAAATGGGGACGAAGCCTCTATGTGGGCGAGGTCATACGACCCCCACACGAGAAGAGGCCCCGGAGGAAACCCATCACCTTCACTTACGACGACCTCCCAGACGGCCCCCTCCCTCACCGGGACGCCTTGGTGGTCAAGATGGAGATCAATGAGGTGGTCGTGCATATAGTATTGGTGAAACACAGGCAGTTCGGTGAATGTGATGTATCACGAACATTCACCCAGTTGGGGTTATCGAGGAAGAAGTTGGGGCAAGTGAAGACCTCCTTATCCGAGTTCACGGGGGACTCTATAGAGACAGAAGGGTTAATCAACCTCATGGTCGAGATAGGTGCCCCGCCTCGAACCAAGAGGTGGGAGGTAGAGTTCGTGGTGGTTAAAATCAGTTGCGCCCACAATGTGATCCTAGGCCGACCCGCCCTCGAGGACATCAGGTGCGTGATCTCCATGGAACACCTGTGCCTCAAGTTCCCCACGCCAACCGGGGTTGGGGTCGCCCGAGGAGACCAAAGAATCAGCAGGAGCTGCTACCTTCGGGTGTGCAGACAGATAGGCAAACGGGATCTCCAGGTACACACCATAGCTGAAAAGGTGCTAAAAGAGGAAGCGGGACGCTCGCGAGCCGAGCCCATAGTGGAGACCGAAGAGGTCGTCCTTGACCTCAGCCACCCCGACCGTGTGGTGAAGGTGGGAACCGGACTCCCCGCCGAGCTCCGGTCCCGCATCATTGACGCCATCAGAGCCTACAAAGAGGTGTTCGCGTGGGGACCCAAGGACATGCCGGGACTCATCAGGGACGTCATCACCCACAGGCTTGCCGTTGACCCCACGATCAAGCCAGTGCAACAACGCAAGAGATACCTCTCCGCGGAGAGGAGGGAGTTCGTGAGAAAGGAGGTCAACACCCTCCTCGAGATCGGGCACATACGGGAGGTCCTATACCCCAGATGGCTAGCCAATGTAGTCCTCGCTCCAAAACCACCCACTTGGTGGATGTGCATGGACTACACCGACCTCAACAAGGCCTGCCACATGGACCCTTTCCCACTGCCAAATATTGATCAACTGATAGACGAGACGGCAGGCTGCGCCCTCATGAGCTTCCTGGACTCCTTTCGGGGGTACCACCAGATCTTTACGCACGAAGACGACGAGGAGAAGACGACATTCACGACCCCCAAAGGAGTCTTCTGCTATCGAGTCATGGCCTTTGGGCTCAAGAACTCCGGGGCTACCTATACGCGGTTGGTGGCCAAGGTCTTCAAACAGGTCCTAGGCCGCAACATGGAGGCCTACGTGGACGACATGATAGTCAAAAGCGCGAAGGCAGAGGACCACGTCGACGACCTCATCGAGGTATTTTCCATTATGCAGCGTTTTTATTTAAGGTTGAATCCCAAGAAGTGCACTTTTGGGGTGCATGAGGGGAAATTCTTGGGCTACATGGTCTCAAAGAGGGGTATCGAGCCCAACCCCGACAAGGTCAGAGCCATCCTGGACATG